GAGGCTGGACCTCCGCTCTCCGCCGATGCTGACGGCGCGTTGTGTGTTTCTGATGACACAGGCACGGAGGGTTACGCTTACGATCGAGAGACGTCTCCCCATCCTTTGGAAGAGGCACGTTTCAGCCGACACATCCACCATCGTGCAACTGTGACCGATCTCAACCACCTGCTGACGAAAGCGGCTTTCTCCGAACCACCCGGAGGGCTTTCCCCGTGGGCACTTGCCTCTTAGGTCATTGCATGTACTGTTTTCCTCCATGTGTTTACTAATGATAATCAGACAATGCCCCATCAAACTCAGCAATTCATGGGAGGGTTAAAGAAAAAAAATCCCAAAAGGAAAGCCGATACTCCCTGCCTCTGCTAAGTGTGCTGATCTGTTTTGATTTCCTCCCAAACGGTGTCATCATCGCGTCACGCGCCGGTTGTTTCCTCTTGACGTGCGCCCCTCGGTATGCATGAAAGGCTGGGTGCAGAGCTGGGGTCCCTTGCGCCTGACACGAAGGGGATTCTGCCTCCAAAAAACCCACCTGCTGAAAACACTGCCCTGTCTGTCGTGTCTGGTTGCCGTCGTGCGTGATGTCGTGTGTCACCCTGGGAGCAGACGGCAGGGCACGTCGCGGCTGGAGGGATGCTCAACCAGAGGAGCAGCGATGGGCCACCAGCCGCCTGCCTCCCGGCGTTCCTGGCTCTGCTTCTCCTCAGACTGTTAAAAAACTCCCCTTTACGAGCAGGGAATCCAGGGCCGACCATTGCTAGGCTTGGATTAGCATCTGGGCATCCATTTTCAGGAGTCAAGTTCAGTTTTGTTTAAAATTAAGAGAAATAACCAAGTTGTGTCGTCTGAGGCTGGCAGCTCACCACTGGCTGATCCTTGCTAAGCTTTTCTTCCATAGCTGCTTAGAAAACATTGTAATCAGTTCCAATCACTGGTGATTTTATTATTATTTTTCTTGGTGCTTAGGAATGTTATTTTTAGTGGAAGGAGCTGAGTGCCCTAATACATCTATAAATATTTATCAAGGGTGATGAATGGAAAGGAGCGATAAGCCCTGAAACCAGCCCTCAGCTTTTCTTCCTGTCTGAACCGATCCACGGCCTCGGTCCTGGGTGCAGAGTGCTCGTCGGGTACCTCCAGCCCTTGGGGAGCGAGAAAATAAACATACGTGGTGGCCACAGATTTAGTTGAATATAAATATTGTGAATGAGCTGTCAAGAAGGAAAGGAAAGTGATGATAACCTGGTGCAGTGTGTTAGCTTTAGCCTGCCAAACAGAGCGCGCTCGCGGGGACGGGGAAGGTTTCGTGTGCGTTCCCAGCTGAATTGGGACCAGCAGCGGCGCTGGCTGCAGCCACGGGCGGGTTTGAGCCCTGAAATTGGGAACGTTTTGCTGATGGCCACGCTCAGGGACCCGCTGGGCTGGTGAAGGCCGGC